TATGAGAAGCAAACAGTACTGTGAACATCAACCAAGACTCACAGATACTGAGTCACCAGCCCAAAAGTGCAGCCAGTTGTGGAGTCCCAGCAGCAGAACCAGCATCCAACCCAGATCTACTAGGGGCACAAAACACACAAGACTTCCTTCCTGTCTTCCTTAGTTATGCTAACAATAAGTTTTTGTGAAACAGTCTCACTATAAGGTCCTGACTGGGCTGGAACTCCCTATGTAGATCAAGATAGTCTCAAACTCACAGATGCTCCTGCCTCTGCCTCCCCAGTGCTGGGTTTAAAGTTGCACACCATCACAACCTCCAAGGACATCTTTACTCAGCTGTCAGCGACTAGCAGGTTTAATACTTCTCAGCCTTTCTGCACACAGGACAACCAACTTTAATCTCCCATTCTGATACAGCTACCAACCACTGGCAGGCTGCTCCCATTTCTACATCCAAGGTTCCAGGACAGCAGTTTTTAACCTGGGGGTCATATATCACATATCCTGCATATCAGATATTTACATTATGATTCATAACAGTAGCAAAACTACAGTTATGAAGTAGCAACAAAATAATTTTATGGTTGGAAGTCATCACAACATGAGGAACAGCATTAAAGGGTCACAGCATTAAGAAGGTTGAGAACCACTGTTGCAGGAGGAACTCGAGGAAGGCAGAAGTAAGTCGAGACGGAAGCTGTCTGGTTCTGTTCTTTTCAGGCTTACAGATAGATTTACTTCTCACAAGTCTGGAGGCTTTAGTCTGAACCCAGTGCAGCACAGGCTGTGTCTGCCTCTCACTGCAGGGTTTTAGCATCTAAGAGGATTGCCACCTCTCTCTATGGTAGTTGCAATAAAGCAGCAGGATCGTCCTCATCCTATTCTTTGCTCTAAAAGCCATCCAGAGCTGACTAATTAACTGCAGCACTAGAAAAATCTGAGCACTATAAGGTGCTTGTTCCTATCATCCTATTACTTATTCTCTCTCTCCTTTGCAGTGCTGGGAATTGAACCTGGGTGCCTAGCACATACCAGGCAGGTGCTCTAACACTAATCTGTATCCCCAACATCTTCTCTTTATATATGTTCTTAAATGAACATATGAAATTTGGAATTAAATTTAAAAACATTATATACAATGTCAATTCTAGTAATTCCACTCTTTAGTGATTTCTGTTTTGGTTTTTTGTTGTTGTTGTTTTTTTGTTTTGTTTTGTTGTTTTTAAGACACGGGTATCTCTGTGCAACCCAGACTGGTCTCAGGCTCACTATTCCCCTACTTCAGTCTTTTTCTTTTCTTTTTTTTTCTTTTTTTCGAGGCTCACTATGTAGCCCTGACTGGCTTTGAGCTCACAGAGATCCACCTGTCTCTGCCTTCCAAGTGCTGGTATTAAAGACCTGGTACACCACCACACCTGATGTTGCAATAATCTTAATGAGGAACATTTTCCTTCAGAGAAATGACAGCAGCAGATGAACACAGTGCTTCCCCAGGTCCCATTCCTCGGCACCACTTCTCTCTACCCAGTTAAAGCGCCTGTGGCTTCTGATAGCGCTCAGACATAGCTCTGCACAAGGGGAAGACTGTGGCTCCTTGCTGCTGACGTCACCATGAGCCTTCCTAATGGAAGGAAGGATGTGAGAAAGGGTAAGAGGTTAAAGGGAAGCTTAAGGGCAAGAAAAGGGTGAGGATCCCAGAGAGAGTGAACAGTAGAGCTGGGTTACATCAGTGGCAACAATCACGTTTCTGGTTTTCTCCTGTATTACTTCATCTTCCCTTGGGGGTTCCTCTTTTTAAGCGGGTGGATAAGTAGTGGCCAGCTGTGCATGTCTGAGGCAGACACTGGGAAAGTCAACTTGGCAAGTCTCACAACTTGATGTCCATGTCCTGACATATGTGTAGATGATGGAAGTGACAGAGAACTCAGAGCTCAGTTGGAAGATCTGGCTTAAATCCTGGTATCTGGGAGCTGGGAAGATGGCTCAGTTATTAAAAGCTCACTGGCTGCTCTTCCAGAGGACCAGGGTTCAATTCCCAGCACCAAAGGATCCAATGACCGCTTCTGGCCTCCACTGGGCAATGTACATAAGTGGTGCACAGATAAACATACATACAGGCAAAACACAAATACACATAAAATTAAAAAAGTTAATCCTAGTATCTTACAGGACTTCCAGTGAGAGATTATATCCCTCAACCTCACTTTTCTAAACTAGAGGCGGGGTTTCAGGCACTGACAATCAGCTACTGCTTCAAAAGCCAAAGTGAGAAACACACACTAGCAGGAAGCTTAACACAGCTCTCACAGTACAAATACAAAGATATTCCCAAAGGCAATCAAATATTACAGCCTCATTCTGACAACCCCTAAGAGACAGACTTAAAAGAGTGTCACTCAGTGGCTTTTAAGTATATCAAGTAAACATTGTATGGTCAAAAAGTTTACATATCTGGACTCAGAGTACCATGATGTACTAGCCCCTCACCAGCAACAGAAAAGTCCATCAGAACCAAGATTCCAGCCATATGCTCAGCGAGGAAAACATTTTCTCACCCGATGTCATCCTACATCTAGTGCAGCAGGAAAACACAGGCTCCAAGTCTAGCTTGAACCTGAGCCAGGGTTGCCCCAGTGGCGGGCCCTGACATAGTATGAGCTGACCCTTACCCCAAATGTAAGTCAGGGATGCTACCCATTGACCAACACTGCCACCACTGAGGCAGTATCTGCGCAGAGCCTAGTCTGCAGCCTGCTTGCTGAATGCTTGGGAGGAGTGTGCAACTGGTGTCTTAGTGTTCAAAAGCATTATTTTTTTTTAAAGAAATACTTAAATTACATGTTCAAACATGATTACCCAATTTTTTTCTTTTTCTTTTTTTTTTTTTTTTAGCCAAAAATGTTCAATAAGGAGCTCCTGTGATGGCTCAGCCGGTACAGGTACTTGTGCCAAGTCTGATAACCTGAGCTCCATCCTCAGGACCCGCTTGATAGGAGATCAATTCCAGAGAGCTGTCCCCTAACCTCCATATAAACACAATAAGTACGTAATAGATGTAACTTTAAAAATGTGAGGTTCAAACCAGACATTGGTGGCGCATGCCTTTAATCCCAGCACTCGGGAGGCAGAGGCAGGCAGATCTCTGTGAGTTCGAGGCCAGCCTGGTCTACAAGAGCAAGTTCAGGACAGCCTCCAAAGCTATACAGAGAAACCTTGTCTTGAAAAACAAAATAAAATAAAAATGTGATGTTCAATGAAAGGAAGCCCTTAAGACCCTGAAACGGTATCCCTGAAATGAATGAAAATTTAAGCTGAAATGTGGAGTGTCAACCCATGCTCCCTGCTTATAGGCTAGTCCTTGCTGGAGTGATTAAGTCAAGTGATTTAAATCAACACTGTTTCCTCCGGCTACTTCGAAACAGAGGGTGTCTATTTCCCAACAGCTTCCCAGGAAAGCCTCTGCCCTAAGAGCCGGGCTGTCTGATGGCTCTTCCCTGGAGGAAGGGGAGCAGGAGGGACGAGGCTTACCATCACCTCACCTAAGAAAAGCAGATTCAGAGTCTGAGGAATCAAACTTATTCCAGACTCCCCCAACAGTAGCTCTTTCTTGGAGTGACGGGGATATTCAGATGTGACCCAGGACAGCCTTTGTTTTTAAATATGAATGGAAATCTCACAGAAACCCCAGACTGAGGTCTAATCAGTCTTCCATCCCTTCCCAGCTTCATTCTATTGTGCTCTGGGAAACAGATCTCGAATACCCCAGGCTGGCCTCAAACTGGAGATGTAGTAGAGGGTGACCTACACGAACTCCAGAGAACTGGGATCACAGAAGTGCGGGCATGATTTACATGTTGCTGGGGACCAAACTCAGGGTTTCTGCATGCTAGACAAGCACTGTATCTACTGAACTACATCCCCGCCATGAAGCTTAATCTTAAGCGACTTTTTTCTTGAGCTCAGTTGATATTAACACAGGTGGCCCCATTCAGTACTGAGCTAGACAGCAGTAACCCAGCCTTCTCGTTCTCTTCATTGCATTTTCCCCTCCCAAACAGGCTCAGTTTGACCGTTCCATACGGCTGTCAACACAGTTCGAAACCTACAGAAGGAATAATTACTGGCAAGAGCCTGTGTGTTCAAACTTGTGTGTCGGGGTTTTCCAAAACCTCTCAAAACTCAAACAGACTGTAGTGGGAGGGTGGATCAGGTTGGCCCTGGGCGGTGAATCAAAGAGAAGATTCAGATCTGGGAAGGAAAAGTGGAGACAGCCGCTGTCTGCCATGGGCGGGAGAGAGGAGCAGACTGCAAGGAACCGCCACAGCAAGGGACAGAGGAAAAAAAAACCAAACCTAAGGTTAAAAGGAGGTCTCCGACCTCCAATTCCGTGTGAGTTTTGTTCAAGAGAAAAAAAATAATAAAAATAAAAAACCCAGGAAGCCACAAAAACAGCTCTTTTTCAACAGAAGGGTCACATTAACAAAGTGACTAGAGGAAACCTGTGCTTTGAGTGTAACCTGCCTACTATGAGCCCTGGGAACGGAAACACCTCTTTCCCGGTTTGGTAGTGGGTTTCAAAACAGTAGGGACAGACAGCAAGATAAAGCTGCGAGGGGGAGGGGAAGCAGGCCGCCAAGCTTTTCCTGAATACAGGGAGTCTTCCGACCACGGGCTTTTAAATGGGCCTTTCTGGGGGCAGCTGACAAGACTCCCAGCTAAACACATAGCGTCTGTCTCTCAATGAGAGCTGGGTGCGCGCTGAAAACCGCGGGGCTTTCAACTAGCTTAGGCACACAGGCAAGATGCACCCTCCAGACCCGAAGTAACCGGTACCCCAATGTCCCCCCAAAGAGTGACCAGGGATCCAGCAGGGTCTGCACTGTGGCTAAGAGTACTACAGGAACAAAAGGAACCACGCTAACGCAGAGCGCCCGCCCCAGGTCTGCGGGGGCAGAGGGGTGGTCCTCACAGACCCTCCTTCGGGCGCGAGCCCCACTTACTTTCGTTCGACCGTTTATCCTGTAGTTGCCTAGCTTCCCGCTGCAGTGGCGGATCAGGTCGTCCATGCTGCTCATGAGCAGGCCGATGGTCTCGCAGCCGGGCTCCTTGCCCTCGATCCAGGTGATCTGGTCCCCCCGGATGTCCTTGGAAGAGTCACTCTTCTGGCTGACCAGCTGCCCGTCCGTGAACTTGCCGGTGTCGTGTAGGGCGCGCACCTCGTCGCCGATCTGCTGCCCGGTCTCCCTGCCCAGGAAGTCGTCCACCACACAGATACCGTGCTTGTTCATGCACGGCACGATGTACTCCAGCGCCAGCTTCAACGCGGGCAGCGGCTTGGTCTGCCCGTTGGGCCGCAGCCCACCGCTGGGACTCAGCGCCTCCCCGGGGCCGCCGCCTGCTGGGCACAGGCTGTCCCGCTCCGGGCCGGGAGACCTGCTAACCGGAGGATCCTCGGAGCCGGGCTCAGCCGCGCCAGGGCCGCTCCGGGCCTGTGCCGCGTCCTCAGGGCCCGGTACGCGCGAGGCCACCGCGCTGTCCCCGCGCCGGGCCGCCCCGCTGGCGCGCGCGGCTCCGGGGGCCCCACCGGGCGGGGGCGCGACGCGGGGCTGCGCCGGCGCGGGCTGTGCGCGGGGGGCCTCGCCACCCTGGCACACTAGCTTGTGCTTCTTCCAGTCCTGGCGCTGGTGTTCCTTACAGCAGTAGAAGGAGTTGCGGCAGCGGCCACAGCGCAGCAGGTTCTCCATCTTCCCGCACAGCTCGCAATACTGTCGGTCGCGCTCGCTAGCGCTCAGCACGCCGGGCCCGCCGCTGTCACTGGCCATGGTCGCGTCAGGGCGGGCCGCGGGCCGGGCGCGGGGCGGCGGCGGGGCCGTCGGGGCGCCCGCCCGAGGCCGCCGCCCGCTGCGGGAGGCCGCGCGCGCCCTGGCCTCGCCTGCCTCGCCCGGGGCCGCCTAGCGCCGCATCGCGCCGGAGAGAGCGCGGCCTGCGCGGCGCACGGCGCCCTGGGCGGGCGGGCCCGGCCGGCTGCGTCGGGGCGGGCAGGCAGGGCGCGGGCCTGCGGGCGCCACTCGCTCCGCGCGCGCTGCACGTACACCACGGCCCCGGCGACCCGGCGCGCGGGCGGAGAGGGCGGGGGCCTCGTGCACGCGGCGGGCCGGGCCTAGCGGGCGGGCGCGCCGTTTCCTCCGCCCTCCCGGCTCCGCCCGGGGCGCGCGTCGTCGTATGTGCGCGCGCGCGCGCGACTCCACCTGCCTGTCGCGGCCCGCGGGCTGCGCTCCGGGGCTGCTGAGCGGCGGCCTTGACCACCTTGGTATTGCAGGGAGGAAACGGAAGCTCAGACAACCCGCTGGGCTGCTCCGAGCTCCCGACTGGCTGCTGCGCGCTCCCGGTCTGCCGCTCCGCGGAGGCCGCGGAGGGCACAACAAAGGCCCCCCCCCCCGCGGGCAGCCGGCTCAGAGACCGACTACCGAAACCTCCCGGGCCAGGTTCTGGTTTTGCTTTGTTTGGTTTTGGTTTTCTGGCGTCCTTAAACTCTGAGATTTCTCCGGATTCCGGTTCGAGACCTCCCGGGCTAAGTAAGGTAATCAGGGCTCGGTTCCAGATCCGCGTTCAGGCCTGAAGCTCTCAAGAGCATTATTACATGAACGTCTCTGTACACGATGTTAAAAATCTCGCATTAGAATCTGCAATAGTATCTGTATTACGAGAATTAAAACGGTCTTTCTTTGTTGTTTTGAGATGCAGCCCAGTAGTCCTCAAACATGACTCTCCTGCCTCATCTTCCACAATGGGAGCAGATTAGCTTGAGCCCCTGTAAGCCATCTCAGTATCTTGATTTTGTTTGTTTGTCCACAGTGTTGGGAATTGAGATGAACACACTTGTGTTTTCATGAAACCTTATAACCTCCCGTAACCTGACATGGTGTCGAATGCCTTCAATGCCAGCACTCAGAGGCAAGAGGATCACTGTGAGTTTGAGGCCATTCTGGTCTACACAGTGATTTCCAGGACAGAGAGACCCCTTTTCAAACACACACACATAATCACACAACAAACCAGAAATTTTGTTTATTACACCTGTCATTTGCAGTAAGAGTAAACAGTGCTGGGGCGCCGGGCGTTGGTGGCGCACGCCTTTAATCCCAGCAGAGGCAGGCGGATCTCTGTGAGTTCGAGGCCAGCCTGGTCTACCAAGGGAGTTCCAGGACAGCCTCCAAAGCAACAGAGAAACCCTGTCTCGAAAAAAAAAAAAAAAAAAAGTGCTGGGGCAAGGAGAGCACTGGAGAGGGGGAAGCAAGAACTCTGCAAGTTCAGGACCAACCTGCTCTGTATGTAGCCAGAGCTTCAGAGTTGGGCACAGTCACCCTGCCTCCACAACAGGCGAAAGGACTACCCCAGGCACAAGCATTTGTCATAGTGTACTCGGCGCACATGTTTGAGTGTAGCCATTCAGACAAACAACAACCTAGAGTTGAAATGCCCCCAGGAAAGGACTGTTTGGATGCCAAGGGAGCACAGGCATTATAATTTCTTCCCTTTGAATAAAACTCCAAGCAAAACAACTCAGAAATTCCTAGAAATGGCAGAGGACATGTAAAGTTGGGCATGGTGGCACAAGCATTTAACACAAGCCCTTGGGAGATGGAGGCAGGAATTATCCTTGGCTACCCAGGTGCTGGCCATCCTGGCTACATTGAAATCCTTCTCAAAAGCAAAAATAAAAAAACCATTTTGAGCTGGAGATGTAATTCAGTGGTAGGGTGCTTGGATCGGATTGTGTAAAGTCCTGGGTTCAATTCCCAGGAGCTTAGAACAAATTTTTTTTTGAAATGCACAAATTAATGTAAACACAATAAGGGGTAGGGGTGTGACTTGTCTAGCCCCTTGCTACATGCCTAGGGCCTGGGTTTGATCCCCAAGAATTGCTTCCCCCAAAAAGTAAGTAAATACAAGTAAAATCAAAGAGTTATTAGGCCTGCTTTTGCTAGAGTAGATACACATTTTAACTAGGACTAGCTGGGCGTTGGTGGTGCACACCTTTAATCCCAGCACTCGGGAGGCAGAAGCTGACAGATCTCTGTGAATTTGAGGCCAGCCTGATCTACAGAGCAAGTTCCAAAACAATACAGAGAATCCCTGTCTTAAAAAACCAAAAAAAAAAAAAAAAGAGTAGGACTATTCTTAGCAGGCAACAACAAACATGGGGTGTTTGTTATAAGTCGTCTACATTTACTTATTTGTAGGTATTAAAGTTGTCCTTATAGTCCAACAATTTTAATTTTTTTACAGTTTGTCTATGTATATACATGTGTGGGCATATATAGCCCACTATGTGTGTCTGGAGATCAGAGGACAACTTTTAGCAGTAAGTTCTCCTACTCCATCATGTGGGTTTCTAGGATTAGACTCATGTCGACAGCTGGGGCTGCAACTACCTTTCCTGCTGAGCCACTGGCCCTGACAGTTTCTTAGAAGGTGACCAGTATTAGGTTCTTGATACGTCAGTTGTTTACCTGTCTACATGTCCTTCTGTTTTTATTTAATTATACTTAAAGATGTCAGATTCAAAACCTCAGGTGCAGAGTCAGGTGTGGCTTATGTGTGGTTGCACTAGCCTGAACTCTCAATACTCAGAGGCACAGGAGTTCCAAGTTCTAGGCCTGCCTATCTCAAAAGACAAGCATTCCAGAAGAAAGTCTATTAACTTTTTGCTGCCATTAAGCATATGGAACCACAAATCAAATATATAATTAATAGAAAGTCAAATATAAAATACTCATTTCAAATATTTCCAAAGGTCCACTAATTCTCTTCCAGGGAAGTCTTGCTGAGTATGCCACCGGTTAAGTTATATGGGTGCAAGTCAGGATTTCCATCACCTTGGTAGCAGTCAGTACAAAAATGTGCTGATTTTTATATGGGTCAAGCAATCGGGTTTAAATGGGAAGTAGGAAGTGTTATCAGGCCCACTGGAGGAGTTCAAAGCAAGAGTCTGCTTCTCAGATGACACTCTGGCCCAGTCAGGAGCATCATGGTGGAAACTGAAGGAAGAAATAAAAGGAAGTGCTACTTTCTGAGCTCCTATGTGATAACCTGAACCACAGTTGATTGGATACCTGAGTGGCCACCTTTCTTCTTGGGCACCGTTGTTCCCCTAAGTTATGAAGCAGTATCACCTCAGAACTGATGGTGACACAAAGGTGGACACAAGGCTGAGAGTGAGCTCCAAGGAAGTATTAGACCAGGAAGTGATCGTGGCATATGCCTGTCATCCTAGCTACATGGAAGACTGAGGCAGGAGGATTGAAAATTTAAGTCTTGCTTACAGAGTGTGCCTGGACTACTACACAGCAAGTTCAAGGTCAGCCTAGACAACTTAGTGAGGCCCAAAGCCTCCAAGTAATAAGTAAAAGGAGGCTTGGCAATGCAGCCTGGTGACACAGAGTTTGTAGAACATCTTCAAAGGCTCTTTGTAGCCCAGGCTAGCCTTAAATTCAGGATCCTCCTGCCTCACCCTGCATTCCTCAGCACTCCCCTTCCCCCCCCAACCCTCACAAAGGAGGAAATGCTGCTAGACTCTTCAGGAAGCACATGAAGAGGGCTTGCCTTTGAGAGAAGTTCAGTTTCTTAAAAATGTTTAATTTGCCCTAAATCCTGAAAATCTTTAAACATTCCTAGCATAGTGTCTTTTCTACTCTAGAAGCAGAATGCCTGGTTGTGACTAAGGACCTCTGGCTTCCTTCCCCAAGTGACCATCTTGTTTGAATACGATGCAGAGGGCCAGTATAACATAGGCATTTCACCAAGATAAACAGGAAGACAGTCTCTGAGTTCTGGGGAAAGGGACTGGAAATCAGAGCCATTTTCTAACTCTGGTTTTGGACACACACATGGGTGTGGCTGGAAGCGGCACCTGCTGTCCATGAAAGAGGATCTGCCAGGCACACGGTGAGCTTCCTTCCTGCCAAATCTGTCTCCAGTGACAATAAATAGTTCAATAAGACTTTATGTCCAGGAAAATGTACCAGTGACCAAACCTTAACAGTTTTGGTTTTTAAAGTTTCCAAAAAATTTTACGCTCAAATTTCATTGAAATTTTTCTTTATGAAAACATTTATTCTGCCAGGCCTGGTGGTGCACACCTTTAATCTCAGAGCTCAGGTGGCAGAAGCAAGCAGATCTCTGTTAGTTTGAGGCTACACTGCTTTGAATAGTTCCAGGACAATCGGGGCTATATAGAAAGACTAAAAGAACAAAATAAAACAAACAAAAAAAAACCTTTTTTTTTTTTTGAGAGAGAGAAAGTGTGTGTGTGTAAGTCAAAGGACCTCTTGAGGGGGTTTATTCTCTTGTTCCATTACCCAAGTTTCAAGAATCCAACTCAGGTTTTCATGCTTGGTGAGGAGAGTCTTTACCCGCTGAGCCACTTTGCTAGGCCTCAGAAATAATTTTTTTCTTTCTTTCAGATATTGTTTTATAGCCCAGGTTGACCTCAAATTTGCTATATACTTAAGAAAAACCTTGCCGGGCTTTGGTGGCGCATGCCTTTAATCCCAGCACTCGGGAGGCAGAGGCAGGTGGATCTCTGTGAGTTCGAGGCCAGCCTGGTCTACAGAGCGAGTTCCAGGACAGCCTCTTAAACAATACAGAGAAACCCTGTCTCGAAAAACAAAAAAAAGAAAAAGAAAAAGAAAAACCTTAAACATCCTACTCTCCTGCTTCCACCTCCTAAGTGCAAGGGTTAGGGTGTGGGGCCCATGCCTGGATATTCCGCACTGAGGGTGGAACCCAAGGCTTCATGAATACCAGGTAACCACTCCACCTACTGAGCTACATCCCAGTCCCATGATCTGTGCTGTTGTCCTGAGACAAGATCTCACTGTGTAATGTAACGCAGTTTGGCCTTTAGACTTGTGCAGTGCTCCTTTGTCAGCCTTCAGGGTACTAGGGTGGCAGGTGTGGGCCTCCACACCCAAAAGAGGCATTTTGAGAGGTGGGACAACAAGCATGCTTGTCTGCTGACAACCACTTGTCTGCTGGTAATGAAGTCTCATGAGAGGAATGCCTAACTGACTTTCAGCTTTCCTCCAGATATTGGGGTGAATGCAGTGGCTGGAGCAGATAGCAGTGTGTCTCTTGAGGGCAGCCACCAGTTGTATTGCAGGAAAACCTTGCTTGACTAAGATTTCCATCCCAATTAATCACAGGCCTTTATTAAGGTATCTGTGCATACTACAGAACACTGTTCAGTGCTGGCTGCTATAACCCTGAAACATTTTGTCTTCACAGAGAAGCTATTCTCAACCTGTGGGTCTCGACCCCTTTCGGCCAAAGGACCCTTTCACAGGGGTTGCCGTATCAGATGTTCTGCATATCAGAATAACGGTGGCAAAATTAGTTATGAAGCAACAATGAAAATAACTTTACGGTTGGGTCAGCACAGCATGAGAACTGTAGTAAGGGTCCCAGCGTCAGGAAGGTTGAGAAGCACTGCCTCAGAGGTTGTTACACACCACACCAGTATCTGGGCAATGTGTGTTTAGATGTGTCTTATATATTGATTACATATAATGTACAGGT